AAGATTATATCCTCCTTTTTTGGGGTATAGTATTTCATACAAGGAATATGATCTTACTGGGTTCAACCACCAAAAAACGCAAGTCACTTGGACGTTCATAGGTATTTCGTAGTGGGTTTACGAGTACCATAATTGAGTCGTATATGTGGACTCGTACAATTCCAATTACATGCCAAAGCATAGCTACCGATGACATGAACCTCCAAGTATGGACCTACTGCACACAACTGTCGAGCATGGTCGTAAATGTGCCTTCCGGTTTGTGGGCTACCTGCTATCGGGCATGCAATGCGGGGAGTCTCACGCTGCCGTGCCTAAAAGCAACATCTTTACAATACAACCTATCGCAGAATGACCTAACCCCTATGCGATGCCGAACTGCCTAGATCCCCCAGATGACCAGATGACCTGTAGAGAGGCCTGTGATGTGAAGCAAGGCCAAGTGCTGCTCCGCGCGTTTGCACGGGGCGAGCAGAATGGAGACGAAGTCGCAGCTTCCTGGACTTACTTTACTAAATCCAACCGGAAGCGGGGTATTGTGGGGCTTATGGTTTCGCGTGCACGGCTCAGTGTTTGGGTGTAAGGCTTTAACCGGCATAGGCCGCTTTTTAAGTTGATAAGGCTTAAGGGTTTACAATGTCGCAAAAGGGGGTTGCGTGAGGTTTTCGTGTTACAGAGTCTGGTGATGCACCATCCACTTGGAAGTGAGTGAGTTGAGTGGCTTCGGTCCAGGTTCAAGCCCCATTGCTGTAGTTTCTGAAGTTAGGGCCATGTCTTTCATCCGCAAAGGCTGGGTCCAGTACTTTTTGTTAAGGGCCCCATAATCTTCAGAATGACCAAACCGCACTTCAATCCAGAACCTTTGAAGCTAGACCTTCAGACCTAAACTTACTGTCTTTGACCCTAAGCATTACACCCCCAAACCTAAACCGTCGAGCCCAAACACCCAAACCGCGCTCCTTAGCTCCCAAACCTTTGAACACCACTGTGGCCAATTTGCCCCCATAAACACCCTGAGGCCTCAGCCGGATTGGGGCGGAGTTAGTGTCTTCAGAGGAGTCTGCGCCAGATCGTGGAGGCCTTGGATGACATCAATTCAATCATCCAGTCTGTAAGCATACCCTCCCCAAAGGACCCTGTGAGGACAGTAGTCCTTCCAATCAAACGTGCGATGGGCTTAGTTCTCAAGCAAGAAATCTGATCTGCAGTTCTGCCTTAGGATGCAGTCAGCGCCAGATGTTCGGTAGTGCCCTGATTTCTCTTTTAGATGCAGGTACAGTGGGAAGTGCGTTCAGAAGCCTGGCAGACTCTGATAGTTCTTATTGATCTTCATTGTCTTCAAACTTCAATGCACTAGTGGTCTGCACAACCTGGAGAAAGATTCCTGGCCTTCACAAGGGAAAGAGGGAACAAATCCCGACAACAGCTCCTGAACATATGTAGTCCACCCCAAATCTTCCTACAACCTATGCAAGGCAGCGCAGGTTCTTCGCAGCAAAGCCGAAGAGCTTTCCCCAAGATTCGCCAGGATTATCTCCCTGCAGTCCTTGTATGTGTATATACATGCTGCTCTTTCCGAGTACTAATGTTTCTGTTGCCAGTGCTATTCGTGTTCAGCCTAAACCTTCAACCGAAAGACTCTAAACAGTAGCTTCCATTTTCTTTTCCATTATCCTTATATATTTCCCATGTAGGCCCTATAATCCATTTAAAGGTACCCAAAATTCTGGCAATCCTCATGACAGGTCTGCTGGAGCCTACTGCCGTGCTGCGTGCCATGGGCCTGGACAAGGTTCATGGGGCCCCCCAATATAGGAATAATGCACAGGATAATGTACAGGATATATAGATATGTAAATATATATATATATGTATATATTATAGGGTACAAGACAATGGAAACGGCTACAATATGATAGGGTATACTTAAGAGCCTCCGGCTCAGTCCGCCGACGCAGAGGCGGAGAAA